TCACTGTGGGCTGAGAAAGTACATGGCAGGATTTCAGTCTTATGAAATGTGTTTATGCTTGATTTATGACCGAGCATGTGGTCGATCTTGGAGAACATTTCCATGTGGTGATGAGTAGAATGCATATTCCATGGCTGCTGGGTGGAGTGTTCTGTAGGATGAGAACACACAGTACTGCAAATAGAGTCACTTAGAAACCGAGGTAAAGAATGGCTTCCTATCTGGTCCTTTAAAGAAAACTTTCGGGATGAAAAAATAATACCTGCAGTCCTTGCGTAACGGGTAAGTTTCTAGACCCTACCTCAGACTTTCTGAATCAGACTCTACAAGGAAGGACTGGAAAAGCTCTGCATGTGGTCCCGAACCCTGGTTACACACTAGAATCATCTCAGGAGCTGAAGAAAGTGCTGATGCCTGGGTCCCACCCCAAAGTCTCTGATATGATTGGTCTGGGCTGGGAGACTAGATTTTTAAGAACTATACAGAAATGCTGCTGTGCAGACAGGGTTGAGAATCATGGCTGTACCTCAGAGCCCCAAAAGATTCTTATTATGAATCATAGTGGGCAAAGCACATTGAGGAGTTCAGTGCTCACTGATGGACTGACTGGTTGCAGGCATTGACAGGTATGAGCGGGGCATGAGATTAAGAATGCATACCTGTTAGGGAATCAGGAATTTGAGGGTCTAAACTTGATTTTAGTAGGAACCTGAAGTTGTCTCCGTGGCTTTCCTAGCATCAGTGAGCGAGATCAATGGCATACCAAGGTTGGGGGCTGGCTCCTCAGTGGGATAGGAGTGGGGGTTTGAAGAGTCATGGTCCCCAGTAAGGAGGAGAATTTTATCACTGACATTGTTTAGAATTATAGGTGTAGAGTGATATTAAAAAGTAGATCAGTGTTTAATCGACTTTATTATTGCTTTGTAAAAATAAGCTTTTTATGTTAGAATCGTTGTAGATTTACAGAAATGTTGCAAAGGGAATACAGAGGGGTTCTGCATACCCCCACACCTATTTCTCCTCTTTGTTAATTTCTTACATGAAAATGATACATCAGGCACAACTGATTGCTAAATATTGACATATTGCTACTAAAGTGCACATTTTATTCCTTAGTTTTTACCCAACATCCTTTTTCCACCCCAGAATCCCATCCAAGATACCATACTGTAATTAGTTGCCATGTTTCCTTAGATTCCTCTAGACTGTGACCGTTTCTAGACTTTTTTGTTTTTGATGCTAACCGTTTGGAGAAATATTTATGGGTCAAGTATTTTGTATAAGATCTGTCAATTTGGGCAATGATCCCTGAGAGAATGGAAACATCCACTTATTGCTTGGCATTTTCAGCATAGGAAGGGGAAGCCCAGAGTCCCGTGGTCTCCCTGAATTGAGGAAACAATTCAGAGTTTGGGGAGACCAAGGATGAAAAAATTCTCAGGGTAGAGAACCAGCGAACAGAGAGCTGCACAAAGAGAGAGCTCCAGAGATCATCAGAGACGGCTGTCCAAGGCCAGGGAAAGAACCACCGGAAAGGAACAGGCCCCATTTGAAGACAGAGCAATAGGAAGCATCCAAAATGAAGCATGCAGAGAATAAGCCCTGCAGAGGAAAGGTGCTCCATCAGTGCTGCGGTATGAATGTTTGCTCCCTCCAAACCGCATGTTAAAATGAGTTGCCATTATCACAGCACTCAGAAGTGGAACCTTCAAGAGGTCATTAGGTCCTGAGGGCTCCACCCTCATGCATTGGTTTAAGACGTTAATAAAAGGGTTTTTAGGAGTGGGTTCTGTCTCTTGTCCTTCTGGCCTCCACCATGGGATGGCAGAGCAAGAGGCCCCTTGCAAGAGAGCAGCTCCTTGAGCTTGAACTTCCCAGCCCTCAGAACCATAAAAAAATAAGCTTCTGTTCTTTAAAAATTAAAAAAAAGAACAAGTCCTGGAGCTCATGCAGGGCCAAGAAGACTTTGTGCTCCCATCAGCCTTAGTGAAAAAAACCTTCTAAGACACTGGGCATGAGAAGAGTCCTCTGAAGGATACTGCCTGAATAATGAGGTCAGATTATCCCCAGATTAGGATATCCTGGGCCCATTGAAGGAAGTTTAGAACCAAACTTTGAAAAAAAATCAAATTGTTTCCAAGCAATTTAACTGTGTCCTAGACTAAAGATCAAAAATGCATAAAGAATTTTAAAAATCCCTACATCTTACAGCATAACAATCATGATGTCTGACATTTAGTAAAACATGATCAGGTATGCAAAGAAGCAGGAAACTGTAATCCATAATAAGGAGAAAACTTAATCAGTAGAAACACATGCAGGGATGACACAGATGATGGAATTAGTAGACAAAGGCGTTAAGATAATTATTATGAACATAGAGTTGGCTCTCCATATCTGTAAGGTCCACACTCATAGATTCAACCAACCATGGGTTGAAAATATGTCAAAAAAAGAGAACCAAAGCCATAAAAATAACAATAGCAGAATACAAAATAATGCAAAACTTATAAAATACAGTATGACAACTATTTACATAGCATTTACATCGTATTAGGTATCATTAGGTATCATAAGTAATCTAGAGATGATTTCAAGTGTATGGGAGGGTTTGCATAGGCTATATGCAAGTACTGGACCATTTTATGTGAGAGACTTGAATGTCTGTAAATTTTGGTACCTGAGGGGAGGTCCTGGAACCAATCTCCCATGGAGATGGAGGGACGACGGCACTCTGTATTTTCAAGAAGGTAGAGGAAAATGAGATTGTGATAAGGACAACCATGAAATAATTTTGAGAGATGCAAATAAAATTCTAGAGGTGAAAAATATAATATCTGGGATGAAAAATACACTATATGAGATTAACAACAGAAGAGACAATGCAGAGAAAAAGAATAGTGAACTTGAAGACATGGCAATAGAAAATATCCAAAATGAAACACACCAAAGAGAAATTTGTTAAAAAAAGAAGAAGAAGAAGAATGAATTGCAGGACGAAATTAAATAACCTGGTCTACGTGTCATTGGATTTCTCCCCGCATCCCACCCCCAAAACAGGTAGTGGAGGCATAAAGTCATTGGAGATATAATGACTGAAAATAATAATCATTATTTTTTGAGTTAGAGTCTCACTCTGTAACCCAGGCTGGAGTGCAGTGGCACACTCACGGCCACCCCAGCAATGGCCTGCTGGGCTCCAGCAATCCTTCTGCCTCAGCCTTCCAAGTAGCTGGAACTCCAGGCGGGCGCTACTACGCCTGGTTAATTTTTGATTTATTGTCAAGATGAGGTCTCCCCAAGTTGCCCAGGCTGGTCTCGAACCCACAGGCTCAGGCAATCCACTCGCCTAGGCCTCCCAAAGCGCTGGAATGACATGCTGAACCATCAAGCTGGCCCTGAACTTTTTAAAAGTAAGATGACAATAAGCAGGCTGCAGTCCAAGCTGCATATGGAAGGGGTTAATATGACACAAGAGAAGGCCTCTGGGCTTAGAACTGGCCATATGTAGGTGCCAAACTACTTTTTCAACATCCAGCCTAGGCGACTTAGATGATTTGCTTAAGCTCTCTGAGTTTCAGTTTTCTCATTTGCAAAGTAGAGATAAAATTTGCACAAAAATATCTTTTGTTCGGGCTTAGCCATATCTAATAGAAAAATAATGTCAACAACTTAAATGCCCATCAATAAGGCATGGCTAAGTTAAATTTGGTAGAGTTGTCGTGTGGCATACTGTGCTTGCTGACAAGAGTAATATCTGTAAGAATTGGTGTGGAAAGGTCTGTAAGAAGACTGCTGTGAAAAGGCAGATCACAATGGTATAATTTCATGGAGATATTATAAAAATCTTGCATGGGGGCAGACATATATTCTATATACAGATGCAAATGATTCCCAATGTACAATAGCTCAGCTTATGATTTTTGACGTTATGATGGGTATTCAATGCATCGTCAGCTTACGCGGTTTTGACTTGCAATGGGTTTATCTGGCTGTGTCCCCATCGTAAGTTGAGGAGCAGCTGGATGTACAAAGGAGACTAGAAAGAGGCTCACCAAATTATCTCTGCAAGGGAATGGTTATGAAAAAAGACAAAAAAAATTATGCCTAACTCTGCAAATTACGGTATTATTTAAATTTTTTTTACAATGACTGTGAAATAATTTTTTTTTTTTTTGAGTTGG